TTTTTTGCGGTACTGGGGATTGAACTCAAAACCCTGTGCTTCATATCTGATTTTTTAATAATGACTTTTTTTTTTTTTTTTTTGTGGAACCGGGAATTGAACTCAGACCCTTGCGCTTGCCAGGCAAGCACTTATTCTACTGAGCCATCTCCCGGGCCCCAATAATGACATTTTAGAGACATACACAGAGAAAATTTTTTAAGACATCATTTAGAAACTTTCATAAAATAATGCCATTATGTTAAAAGAACAATAAAAATGGTAATATGCATTTAGACTGTGTCTCAGTTACTGTTCTCTTGTTGCTGGGACAAATACCCCACACTCAAAATTAGGGAAGGAAAGGTTTATTTAGCTCACAGTTAATGGAGGTTTCAGTCCATACTGGGGTGGGGGGAAGGAATTACAGTAATTCCAAGGCAGAGTGGCACATGGCTGAGAGCAACCTTTCATGACAGTGGCAAAGAGCAGAGAGCAAAAAGGAGTGGCAGCAGCTCAGGAAGCCAGCTAGCCTCTCCCTTCCTTACACTGAACTGCAAATTACTTGCCCCAGGGCAGGTGCAGCAACCACACCCACAATAATCTATCACAAACTCCAGAAGCTGCCCCATGACTGCATGAAGTTTTAGGCACATCCAGACAAAAACTATAACAGATAATAATTTAGGGGAATTCAGAATGAAGAAAAAAGATTTTGTTTTCTTGAGATACTGCAGACATCCTGGGTTGGCGTGGCCACGGCAGTTCGTGTCCTTTCCTCCTGTGTCCACTGCCTGCCCTCCCCCTTCACCCCGCTGTCCCGGACCCCATGCTGGACGCGCTACACTGCTGGTGTCCCACAGCGACCTGGATGAGGCCCAGGGCGACACAGCTGGCCTTACTGCTCACGACGTGCTGGGGAAGATCCCAGAGCTGTGTGGCCAGTACAGCGATGTGCCCCTTTGACACCAGAAGGAATCAAGGATCAGGTTCTGTGTGCTTGAAAGTGTATGACAAGACTGACCCAGAAAAGCTCTTGGGAAAGGCCCATTTTATGACAGACGCGGGCTTAGAAAGTTGGCACCAGGGGAGATTATCATGGCCACGGAGGACACATTTGGGCTTGAAATGCCTGCGGTAGGTGCAGAGAAGCTAATGTGTCCGCAGGCTATCACAGATTACATCGCAGATACAAAGCACGCACGTGCATGAAGTCCCAGACCCCAGAGACGCGGGTGATGGAAGGCAGCGTGTGTTATCAGCACACAGCGGCTCTGCCAGACACAAATGCATTTACGTTGTCATGTTTTACCTTTTGAAAATGAATCAGTACAACAACAACAACAACAACAGCAAGACACTGGGCTACGTAGCCCAGGCTGGCCCTGAACTCAGTGATCCTCCTGCCTCAACCTCCTAGGTGTTTTAAGTAAGAAAATCTCAAGAAAACAATGATTTATACTAAATTTCATTTTTTCTGATATTTACATTTCTTATTCTAGTTGGGCATAAAAATAATTTTGGATTACGAAGGCGATAAAACACAGAAGCTAACAGCAAGACATCATCTGGAGGGACAAGAATCATTTGTCCTACGTCGTCTGGATCTGAGGGTTCCTAATGATTCAAAGTTACCTACTTTCTGCAGAACACCAATTTGCCCAGCAAACAGGATACTTTCAACAGGAGAGTAGTCAGTTTTCTACTTTATCATTTTATCAGTGACCGGTCAGAAGAGTAATTGCTGAGTATACAAACAACTGTTCTCTTTTACACATTTAGCTATAGCTCAGTAAAGCCACTATGTTAAGTGAGGAGTGGTCTTTCTGGTTCCCAACAGGAAGAAAGTTAAAATGCTTACCATCCTCTTCGTTCTGCCAGGCCTCTCCACAGAGAATCTGTTCTGACCATTCTCTCAATGAGCTTCTTCCATAACATGCCATCGGATGTCACTCGGTACCACTCTTTGCACACAAGTTCAGCAGCACACAGGGATTTGGCATCCAAATATGACAGAATGTTCTCAGCAATGTGATCCAAACCCCGAGCTTGGGGAGAGGAGGGATATGGACAGAGGCAGTGGTTAATGATTTTTTTTTTTTTAAGCAAAGATCCTTTATAACAAAACAGGACTTGTTCTGGTGGGAAGGCACATCATTATCCCTAGTGTGGTCCAGTTTCTTTTTCAAACAGAGGCTTGGGTAAAATGAGTGTCAATAATTTTTCCATAAGGTTACAGAAATGAACAGTATTTTCCATTTTCCTGTAGATAAGGAACTTAAAGCTAACAACCAGCAAACCCCCAAGACATTAAAAATAAAAAGGAATCCAGAAAACAATTCACATTTATCTATATGGATTTCAGCACTAGGGGATGTTCTACGGATGGCATCTCAAACTCTGATTCAGACCCCCCAAATCTCTATATTAGGTCCATTTCTCATTCTGTTTCTATTACTGCTGCAGTTCCAAAGCTATTCAGTAAGAGAAATATCCTTTAAATGCACCGGGAGAGAGGCACTAAGTCAAAAAGTGCTGGGTTATAGAATTTTGGGCATGCAGAAGGAGAAGGAAATACAGATTGGTATAGGACCATCTCAAGAGGGAAGACAGAGAGCATGTTTAAGTTCAAGGATGAGTTTAATTTCAGACTATATTTGAGAATAGCTACTGTTATAAAACCTAAATAACAACTGACTAAAAATAAAAACAAAACAAACCCCTAGACCGCTAAGTAACTTGTTACCACTTCAGAGAATATTTTACTGCAAGCACAGAGGAAAACAGCGGCAGGCAGAGTGGGCTGTGTGAACAGGAGGGTCTCCCAGCAGAAGCGCTCCACTCCCCATGTCTACACTGAGGTGCTGGTAAAAAGAGCATACACCAAGTGGGGTGGCTTCACTACAAATCTCTTGGGTGATATTCTAAGTTTTTGGTAATTTTTGTGTGTGGGGGGGGGAGTACGAGGGATTTAACTCAAGACCTTGAGCTTGGCAGGCAGGCGCTTATGCTGCTGAGGTATCTCCCTGGCCCCTGGATGATATTCAAAGTTCACAAGAGAGACAAAAATGACTAAAGGGACTAGGAATGGGGGGTGCACACTTGTATTCCCTACAATCTGGGAGGCTGAGACAGATGGATCCCAAGTTCGAGCCCAGCCTGGGAAAGTCAGACTCTGTTTCAAAAATAAAAACTGGAAAGGGCTGAGGATAGCGGTCAGAGTGTGATGACGCTGGGTCACTCCCCAGCAGCATACACATCACCCTTTTTACAGACGCTCTCGTAGGCACAAACCTGAAAGAGAACACTGCATTTCATTTTGTGCCTTTCCCCTGAATCACAGACACACACACACGGGCACCAGTACCAACAACTGAAATATGCTTATTAAACACTATTCTAATTATATAATTGTATGGATACTGCATTTCTCAGCAGACTTGGGAAAGAAAGCATTAAGGGGATCTTGTTGGGCTGGCATCACATGTTCATCTTTAAGCATAAGCAGATGGAGGCATCCATCATCTAATTCTTATTAGAGGAACATGTCTATAAGCCAATTAAAGATATAATAATTAGTTCTTCATACAGAACACAGTGAGGATACAATTCGTGCATCTTTTCTTTTTTTTAGGTATTTTTCTTCATGTTATTTATTTATTTTTGGTCAGCTCAGCGTGCCCTGAGGGCGGGGCTGGTGCAGCAATGTGGTGGTGGTGGGGATCCAACCATAATTCCTTATGTCTGCCTGAGCTTAGGCTTGCCTAAGCAGGCGCTTTAGACCACTGAGCTATCTCGCCAGCCCTTCATGCATCTTTTCATTGAGAACTTTCCACACCACCAGACATTTACAAAAGGAATACTTATGTTTTTAAAGAGCTGCCATCAAATTCCCCGATTGGGCCAGCCAAATAGCTGAGGGGATTAACGTGCCTGCTTAGGCAGGTAAGGGTTGGAGGTTCGATTCCCTGGCCTGCTGTGCTGCCCCCCCCACCCCAGCGTGCTGAGATGGCGATTGAGACTGGGCGCGGTGGCACGTGCTTGCAATCCCAGCACTTGGGAGGCTAAGAAACAGGAGGATCACTAGGAATCCCATCTATGTAGTGAGACCCTGTAGACCCTGTACTAAATATAAAAAACAAAAAACAAAAAACTCCCCTGATCCTTCACTATGTACCTAGAATAAGTCTTTGAAAGTAATTTCACCTCATGCTCCAAACAAAACCGTTACATTAATGGACTGCAGGCATTTTTGGAAGTAGTCTGGTAAATGCACCCAGACGTGTAGGTTTCTACGTTTAAATGGCCGTAGGGCATTAGACTGCTGGTTTAATACCTCATAGGCTGGTCAGCAGACACATAGTAGGGATCGGTATGGGCAAAACACACAGGTCTAATCAATGTCTGTTCAATTCCCAGAGGTGTAAGCTGGAGACAGGCCCATGTTCCAGGAACTGGGGAGAGCACAGTAGTAGGTACACTCTGACTATACAAAGAAAACTGTATGCCCACAGCGAAAACAAAATTCAATGTATTATGAGAGGGCAGAAATCTACTTCATAAAAGATACAGGTAAAATTCAGTTTTACAGCTGTTATTTCTAAGTATAACTTACTTTTAAAGGTTAATTTGCAAATTTAGAAAAACAAAAATGTTAAAAGCTATAACTGGCAAAGATTAAACAAAGCAGTGACAAGCAGTTGTAAAGACACTACCTGTTGGGTTATTATCCTTTGGGCACAGCCTGCTAGCATATCTCACATACATTAAAATATATTCTCTAATATAGTCATTTCACTTAGTGTTCCATAGGATGCTCGCAATCTTAATGTAGAAGAATGTCCATCATAGCATAATTTATAATGGGAAAAGTAATCTGAAATGACCTCTGCAGTTCTAGAGACTGACCCCTAAGAGCCTTTGCACTGAGCTACATTCCCCACCTCTTTTTATTTTTTGTTTTGACAAAAGGTCTTGCTACATTGCCCAGGCTGGGCTTGAACTCTCAGAGTGCTGGAATTACAAGTGTGTACCGCTAACCTAACTCTATATTGTCAATAAAGCAGTAAAGGTGTATGTGTTCAAAACACTGTGAAGAACATTATGTAGCAGCTAAAAGTATGTGAGAACAGACTACTTTAACATATTTAGTGAGAATACATGAAGAAAATATTTTATGAACCACTTATGATCATAGCCTTATAAGGGAGATCTCTCTCCCCTCCCTCCCTCTCTGGGAAGAACAGGCTACATGCCAAAATACGAACGGCATAACTGGTAATTCTCTCTGCATGTGTGGTTCTGGAAAATTTTATTTTTATATCTTATCTTTTATTTTCTGTAACTTCTGCAATCAAGATATGACCACCAAAATAAGCAAAATCTCCTCAAAACTTGCAGCCGGATGTGGCGGCCCACGCCCGTATCTCCGACACTAGGCGGCTGAAGTAGGGCTGCCATGCATTTGACGCCAGCTCGTGAGCTTGTGCCTCAAAAATACAAAAACCAAAAAACAAAACAACCCCCCTAACAAAACAATGACACCAAATGAAAGAACCTTTAACACAGATAAGAACAAAAATGCTCCCATTTCTCTGAGCATTTCTCCCCAGTACTAATGCCCTTGTGGTATTCTAAATTACCATTAAGGATTCAGAAAACTTACAGCACCCTTCAAAATAAAGCATTTTTAGTATATTTAAAATACAAATATATAATGCAGGTGTGATGGTGCATGCCTATAACCCACCACTTGTGACGCTAAGGCAGGGGGATCACGATAGCTGAGGCTGTCTCCAACACACACACACACACACACACACACACACACACACACACACCCCACTTCTAAAATACTCAAAAATGTTTGTCTCTACAATTTAAATATTCTGTGCATAAATTTCCACAGAAATTCAAACCCAAGTATATAAATTAATGTACCTTTTCCTTTTTAAAAAATGGATCAGGGCTGGGGAGCTGGTTGAGTGACATAAGTGCCTGCTTGGCAAGTACGAGGTCCTAAGTTCAATCCCTGATACTACATACACACACGACCAAATCCATGTCTTTATAAAACAGTGACCACTACAGTGATAACCTCAGCCCTAAATTAACACATTTTAAAAACCAAAACACATTATAAAAGATAAACCTCAAATAAGATGACACTTCAGAAAAGACTTTATTTGGACATATGACAAATAAGATACTGAACAACAGCCAGACATGGTGGTGCACACCTTCAAGAAGATGGCAAGCTTGAGGCCACCTTGGGCAACTCAGCAAAAATCTCATTGTTAAAAGGGCTTCCTGGATTCAGTTCCCAGCACTGAACTACAAAACAGTGAACAGAAGGGCATGAGACACTAAGACTGAGGAAAAATGTAAGTCTCTGAGTTTGACTTTCTCATGTGAGTTTTATTTACTTTATTTTATTTATTTATTTCATTATTATTATTTTTTGGTGGAACCGGGGATTGAACTCAGGCCCTTGCACTTGCCGGAGAAGCACTTATTCCACTGAGCCATCTCCC